CAAAGGTCTTTCCAGACTGCATGGCAGCAAGTCCCTACAGCCACCTCAGGGGGCAGATCACTCTTGCTGCCATTCTGAAGACCACACCTGAGCTGGAGAAGTGGTGGCTTGATGGAGGCTCTGGGGCCTGGGCCACCCTTGGCCCAAAGGAGCCTTCAAGGATAGAGGGACGGACTCTGACTTCGAGGAGCAGGAGGTGCTGAACTACGCCGCTGAAATGCCAAGAACTGAATACATTGTCCGGACTGGCAACCGGGGGCTACTGCCAACTATCCTTTGGACCAGGGCAGCATGAAGCGGCAGATTAGGCCTGCTCTCAGCCACGTCCGTGTGCCCACCAATAACTACTGGTGCAACCCAAGAAGTGCCTATATAAATCTGAGTTACATTCCGTAGTGCTGCAGCTTACCAAGACATGAAGGCAACTCCCACTTTCCACGGAGACATTTGGCTGGCTGGGTCCCAACAATGACATGATTGTTGTCGCATTCGTATCGCACAGTTGCTCTGTGCCAGTATTTCTCTGAGTCGATGCCGGCAGCATGGCCATTTGTAATATTGGGAGGTTTTCCACAGGTTTGTTCTATCTCTGCAGAAAACAGGAAAAATGAAAATGCTTATGCTTCCTTGAAAATACTTGTCGTCATTTCCTTCCAAACTGTCCAGTCCTCCATTTCCTAATGGCTGTTGCCATTTCCTCCCCTTCAGGCTCTCCCCTTTGCCCAACCAAAGAGAAGGCCAGGCAGCTCTCCCTTTTTCATCCCTGCTGCAGCTACTTATTCCAGGAGGCAGAAAAAGGGGCCGTTTCTTCATCTCTGTCTCTCTGTCCGTCTATCTTTGCACTGTGGTGAGTACCATTCTTAACTGTATTGTGCATGGATTTCATGCAATGGTTTTGCAGAGTGTGGTTTTTCATTATCGGTCTCAGCCAGAGCAATGAGTGAGTTCCCCATTGAGGCCTGCCTGGTGCCAACTTTGCTATCTTCGCAGTGCAGGCAAAGTCCATCCGGTGCTGCAGGGCATTTAAGTCGCCCACCAGGCCTGCTGGTGTTAGGCAAGACCTAACGGGGTCTCTTCAATCTATATCTTTTTCAACTTTTTGTTTTGGTTTTCAATTTTGAATTATCAACTTTTTATGATGTTTTTCCGGATTTAAATGTTATGTTTTCCATTGCTTTTTAATATGTTGCTGTAAACTGCCCAGAGAGCTTTGGCTGTTGGGCAGGATAGCAATTCCTTAAATGGACAAAATGAACTGCCACGTTTTCCCAGAGGCTTTGAAGGGGGTCAGGCTTCTGATGCTGCCTCGCTTGTCACTTGCCTTGCGGAACAGCAGTGTGAAATGCATGTGGTTTTACTTCGAATAGTCGGAAAGTTGGAGAGAGAGAGAGTGGAAATGCAATTTCCTTCACTATCAGTCTGACACGTTTCCAAATTTCTCAGTTGAGGAAAATAAATGGTCGCTATTTGATAGGCACATCCAGTGTTCCAATTCAGACACTGGCAACTTGACTAGATGGAGTCACTATACCTAGATAATGCTCTAGGTCTCGGAACAGCAATTGATATACCATGCAAGGGAAGTCTTCCATTGTAAACATGTGCACCTCCAGGTATTCTGAGAACTTTCACCATCCAAAGTTGCAACAGAAAAGCTTGTTTCTCTTTAGTTACTATCTTAGCATAATTTGTGTCAGCGCTATTTAGAACAATTCTCAGATGAATCACAAATAATTTTTAGCTATTTTGTTGCAAATCAATGTTGATCTGAAAATTATCTGCAAACTGACACTGGGACTATTAATAAACTATAATCCACAGTTCTGCAAGTTAGTTTACATATAGTATTCCAATTGTAAAGCAACCCCTTCTGGCAGTGCATCCTTGTTTGTTTCAAATGTCCTTCTCTCTCTTCTCCACAAACCGTATTCCATGACTCCTACCTTGGAATAATCTGCGCTAGGGACTAAACTGCACAGGAAAGATACAAAATACAATCCTGGCAAACGCTGGAAACTGCTGAGTCACAAAGAGTAATTTCTCCTTGCATATCAGTTCCTCCTCTGAACACACTTTTTCTTGCATATTTACCTGTGCAAGTTGGTAAAGACGTCCAATTTCCATCCACGCACACAATACGATTTGATCCAGACATTGCAAATTTGATGTCACACTCATATTCCACTGTATGCCCATGTTGATATTGTTCAGCAAAATCACTAATCAAGGTGCCATTTAAAATGCTGGCTGGAGGTGGTGGACAAGGGTTGACGTGCCCTAAAAGTAAGAGAATGGTCCGTTCAGTCTTGGTCTCACACGTTCCCAGCAGTTGCATGGAAGAAGCCATGGGAAAGTAGCATCAGCATCATCACAGTATATTAGAAGCTGCCAGTTTTGCTCTCGTAAGGAACATCAGGAGGCTCATGCGGCTCTCCTCCTCTCCATCTTATCCTCACCACAACTCTTTGAGGCGGAGTCAGTGGCTGCCCAGAGGCTTCTGGGATCCTGCTCAGGGCTAGAACCTCAGCTGACAAGCCCAGCATTCCCCTGCTGCACCACTCTGGCTTTCAGAGTTACTTAAATACTAAAACCATAAACATAAAATGGTTCCAGGGAGATCCTCAGTTATGGATGCCTGGGTTAGAAACAACACTTACTAATGAACGAACTGCCATAAATCAATGATATTTTAAAAAATTACTGTGAAAAATCATCGTCACCACTAAGAGAGAGAGAATGAGAGAGAGAGAGAGAGAGAGAGAGAGAGAGAGAGAGAGAGAGGAATTGAAAGTGGAGAGAGGGAGAACTTCCAAAGCACTTCTTGCTGCAAAGAGGAGGCACTGGTGAGTTTGGGCAGTGAGGGGAGGTCTAGGGATATTCATGGTTCCTCTGCTTTCAAGACCAGTGAATAAGGAGGGCTGACTATACATGATCCAACTGGCCCA